GCCAAATAGCTGACAGTCTTACCTGTTGGACGAGTTACTTCAGGTGACACAGTCACTTCAGGCGAAGGTGAGGAAGCAGGTTAGCTCATATGCCTGTCTGTTATGCTAATTGTAAAAATGGGATGCACAACTTATAACTCAGCTATTGATATAGTTATACGAAGTACGAAATTTCAATTTTTAATTGATACCAGGGCAGGTAGCATTCCATTAGGCAGGAGGTGTTCGTTATAGTTCAAGCTAGAGCTATATACTTAGTAAGTGAAAAATATGGCCCTATGTCGCGACATTTAGGCATGGTAGAATTTGAGCTATTATTAAATAACGTTTATTTAACCCTTTAGCTTATCATTTTCTCGATAGAGCTTGGGACTGTAAACTACGTTCCGATTTTCTATATGCACGCACAGCCCGTACTATGATTTAATGTTGTCTACTTATTGCCAGTTTACAGGCTAGGTCAAAAGAGATATACAGTAAAGAATCGAACAGATAGTGCAAAACTTCCGATCATTCTCTCTACTGTTTTTAGGAGAAAAAACTTCATGTCGTTAAGGTTCGGGAACGGAAAGGGTTGACACCTTAGCAAAGTGTTTACGATCTACTTTGAGCTTTACGGATCCTGTATTCTGCATCGGAAGAATGTGTGTTGGCTGAAGAATTAGCCAGTTGTAGATACAGCACCTTTTCCATAAACATGAATCATGGCACAGGATTCAGATTCCGCGAACGCCATCAGAGTAAAGGAGACATGCCACTGAGTAAGCATCCAAAATTCGCGAGGATTTTCCTAAATGTAGGAAACTATTGATAGCTCCCTTAAGCAAGGGATAGGTTTGATAATTTTTAATATTTCTGGGTGGCTTATTCCAGATCGCTATGGCGTTTACCGAAAAAAAACTGGCGATAAATAACTGTGTATACCATAGGCATAAATAAAAGCGCATCTCGATTACTTATGCGCCGAGAGTGGATGAGTTGCCGCAGAATACTAAGGGGGTTAGGGGTATGACCGTTCAAAAATTTAAATAGTAAAAGTAGTCCCTTTGTAATCTGCGAAACTACAAGGGATCGCCGTTAGTAAGTTCACAACGCTGTTCATAGGACATGTTGTGGTGTTCTGAAGAGAAAAGTCCCTGAGTAAGGAAATGTTGAACCGTTCTAAATAAATAAATTGTATATTTAAGGCCCAAAGGGACCCTTTATTACAAACTTAGTGCTATCGTGAAAATAAGGAAAAAAATAAAAAATATTTCAGATTAACAACGAACTCTTATAAAATAATTAGCTGGACAGTAAAAAACTCCTACATCGGTGGATGAGTTCAGCGAGCTACCGATTTCCAAAATAATGTAGGGGAAAAAAGTGCTTTAATTGGTAGCATGGTGCAGTTAGATGGGATCCTATTGTTGAGGGTTCGGGACGCTTACTATCATGGGAAAAATAATATAGCGGTGAGTTAAGAAGGGGTCATCCGGGACAACAGGAGAGGGTGGCGGGAGTCAAGGCAACATCACCGAGATGCAACCCACCAGACTCCAGAGTCCACCGATAAGTTGGCGGCCAAGCAATGAACATCAATAGCGACCTCGAAGATCACCGTATCCTGGGAACAGCTTCAAATGCC